GACGGCAGGGAGCAGAGGGGGTGGGGCACAGGAGCTGCAGGAAGTTACAAGGTCAAGTGGAAGATGGCAGTGAGACACTGAGCAGGAGCAAGCTGGTTGGGCAGGGGTCAGTCAGGGACCGAATCCAGCAACGTTACAGTCAAGGGTGAGGCCCCAAGTCAGTGGTTCTGGTGCTGGGCATTGAGGGGAGGAAACACCAAGATAACTGACCAGTTTCCAGAACAGGTATTGTCAACTCATGGTCACCTCCAACATCCTGCAGGAAGGAAGAATGTTGGGTTCTTATCTGTCAAGAGTGTGGAGCTGGCTGAAAAAATGGAAAAAGGAACTGGCACATGGGTTCTTGGGTTGGCACACTGTCTCCTCTGGTGGCCTCAGCAGGCAGTCATGCTATGTGCTGCTTCCTGTTCTACAAGACCCTGCTGTTTCCTTCAGTCCTTCCCACTGTACTCAGACACCCACAGCCTCCAGCTGTGAGCCTTCAACAGTTAGGAAGTGTTTCACTCTTGTAAGATACTCCTTATAGTTCAGACTCGAATGCGAGTCCTAAAGCCCCTTCCCACTACCATGACCTGAACCACTCTGGGTATGGCAGGAGCTGGATCATCTGACCAGAAAAATAGGGTCAGCTGCCAATGACAGGGCTATATGCCCATCTGGCTGGAACCCCCGTTTCCTTGCGGGTATAGCTGCATGAAGGCCATGTGGGGCCTCCTAAGAGGATGTTGGGATCTCTAGTTCACAGTGGGCTTGAGTCTGGAGGACCTGTCCCCAGAATTTGGATATAGTGATATGGGATGCTTTTAGTAAGCAAGTGTGGCAGCACCACTGTGCAACTGTAGGTAGGCCACGAAGACTTATTCAGCTCTTTTCTGACCCCCATACTTCCGTGCAGAGATGCTTGGAGAGGCAACCTCTCACTAACAACGTACCCTTCAGCAGAGGCCTATGAGCCCTGTATGGTTTTTGAGACGGAACACTTCCTTTCACTGCAAATCTCTGTTTCAGCACATTCGTTCCTTGGTCCTTTGAACTCTCTACTTGTAAAGGACATCCCAGTTTGCTATGAATTCTCCACACTTTACTCTTTACAATGAGGTCGCATGATTGATTAAGTCGCTTCTTCATGTCCCTATCAATGGCCTATGCTCACAGCGTGAGTTTGGATCAGGGAAGAGGACCCACCACGTATAATGTGGCACTGGCCACTACTCTGTGAGAAGGCAGCTTCAGACTTCTCAGCTGGTGGGACCACATACCCACTCTATCACAGAACCCACATCTCTCCTCACCAGCTCTGTCTCGACTTCCACCAACCACGGTGAGAACACAATCTGGCTAGGGGTTGGTGGAAGGAGGTACTTGACTCCCTTTTTTCCCTTGATGGTTCCCTGAGGTCCCACCACAGAGAAGAGCAACTTCTTGGCTGAGGAGCAGGTGTTGCTGTGGCATGAGCCATGGGATTTGTTCCACTGAATGGAACAAGCTATGTGAGGCCAGCATGCTAACCCTGTAGGGAAAAATTGAACCACATCTTCTCAGCTCCAGGGAACTTGCTAAGATGGGTGCTGGAAGGGCCAGGGTATTTTCAGTGAGTTTTTACACCAGAAGTGCCCAGCATACCAAGGCTGAGGTTCCATAGGATAAAGGCGTCCTTGCCCAGCTGTATGCAGACAGTTGGGGCTCCCAGGGCCCCTTCTCAAATGACTCCCACCCCTGCCTCTCATCCTATCTGTAAAGTTCACTCCCCAGGATGGTGGGTGGCCAGTGTTGAGAAAACTGCTGTGGGGAGCTCTCTCTATCCTGCTCTGTCTGCTCCCTTCCCTTTGGTTCCCCCCCCCCCCCGTGTGTGTGTGTGTGTGTGTGTGTGTGTGTGTGTGTGTGTGTGTGTGTGTCCGTCCGTGCGTGCGTGCGCTCACACTTAGTGTGATTGGTGAAGGTTTGAGGTCAGAACCAGGGATCTTCCCTGAGTACTCTTTCACATTATTCTCTGGAACAAGGTCTCTCAATCAAACCCAGAGGTCTCTAATAGGGACTGGTTGATGCCTCCACCTTTAAAGACTGGAATTTCAGGTGAGCCGCCATACCCACTCCGCATTCACCCAGGTTCTACTCTAGGCTTCTTGCCTGGCAAGCACCTTCATCACTGAGCCATCTCCCCAGACCTCCCTTGGGTTTCTTTTTGTTTGTTTTGTTTTGTTTTGTTTTGTGAGACAGGGTTTCTCTGTATAGTCTTAGCTGCCCCGGAACTTGCTCTGTAGACCAGGCTGGCCTCAAACTCACAGAGATCCACCTGCCTCTGCCTCCTGAGTGCTGGGATTAAAAGCATGCACCACAAACTTGGCTTTAGTTTCTTATAATAAAGTTTTTACAGAAATTCTGGCTCAGAGAAAATAATATGTAAGGAAGGCAAGGTTTTCCGAGGATGTGTTCTCTCCCAAATGCTCACTGTATCTACTCCCCAAAAGGTTATTTACACGTTTCATAGGCTTCTCAGGGAGTGCTCTCTCCTCTGCTCCACAGCGCACAGCATAATGGGAAATGAACTAGCTGGGTACACCCTCTGCACTCTGATGGACAGTACTTCTTCCTAGCAGTGACTTCCACTCTCAACTCCAATTTTATACTATCCATGCTCTAAAAGGATGCGACTATGCATTTTAACTTTTGTTGTTTACATATGAAGGCTGGACACTACTCATTTTGGTTTCTCTCCAATAAATAAGAATATGTAGCCTTTAATCCCAGCACTCGGGAGGCAGAGCCAGGCGGATCTCTGTGAGTTAGCTACACAGAGAAACCCTATCTCGAAAAACCAAAAAAAAAAAAAAAAAAAAAAAAAAAAAAGAATATGTAGTTTCTGGTTTAAAGTGGGTAAAGAGGTAGTGAGTTTACAAACACCTTCTTCTCTGGGTTCCTAGTGGTGGGTGAAAGCTGATATGTGTCTACTAAAAAAACCTGACTTTGCAACACTGTACAAAGGTCTTCAGGGTTAAACAGCTCTCTTACTAATGTGAATGAAGACTTTTTTTTTGTTGTTGTTGTTAGTTCATTTTGGAGTCCACAAGCCTCCAGTTGTGTGGAAGAGCGCTGCCAGTTGGATGTGGAATACCCGCAAAGGACCCACAGCACTGTTGGGAGGTGGTGCCCAGATGAAGGAAGTTCAAGCAATGGGGCATGCCCAGGAAGGGGATACTGGGATCCATGCCCTTGCATTCCCCTCCCCTTTGTGCTTCCCAGCAGGTTATCGTAAACATTTGCTCCAGCATGTGCTCCTGCCAGGAAGTGCTGCCTCCAAACAGACCCAAGGCAGCCAAGAGACCACGGACAGAAAGCTCTGAAACCATAACCCACAGTAAAACTTTCTTCCCCATAAGCACATTAAGTCAGCTGTTCTATTAAATAATGGCAATTAACCAGGTGTGGTGGCACACATCTTTAATCCCAAAACCCAGGAAGCAGAAACAAGCAGATCTCTGTGAGTTCAAGGCTAGCCTGGACTATACAATGAAACCCTGTTCCAACCAAACAAAAGTAAATCTTACGAGCGGGTGAGATGGCTCAGCTGTTAAGAGTATTTGCTACTCTTCCAGAGGTCCTGAGTTTAATTCCCAGTACTCACATGGCATCTTATAACCATCTATAACTGTAGTCCTGTGGGATCTGATGCCCTCTTCTGGTGTACAGACATACATACACACAAAACACTTATATACATAAAATACATAAATCTTTTTTAAAAGTAATGGAAAGTTGACAATACAGAAATCAAATGTCTTCAGATATTCAGGTTCAGAATAAATTTATTATTTTAAATTTTATTTTATGTGTATGAGTGTTTTGTCTGCATGTATATATGTGCATCATGTGTGTACAGTGCCAGAAGAGGCCAGAGAAGGATGTTGACTCTCTCGGAACTGGAGTTCCAGGTGGCCGTGAACCACACTGCAGGGTGTTGGCTGAACTCTCTCTCCAGCCCCACACTGCATTACTTTTACTGTTACGACTACTAGCATTGGCTGTGCCACAATAAGAAAAGTATGAGCAGTGATTAAAGACTATAGTGAGTGAGTGTGTGTGTGTGGGTGTGTGTGTGTGGACACATGGCTTTAAATTTTAGAGAAATCTTGTATTCACTTAATAAATTTGGGGCAATTTCTTCTTCAGTACAAGTTCCAAAAAGGAGCCCTTATTTCAGCTCACAGATTAAGAAAGAACTCGGCGCCAGGCAGTGGTGGCGCACGCCTTTAATCCCCAGCACTCGGGAGGCAGAGCCAGGCGGATCTCTTTCATTTCGAGGCCAGCCTGGGCTACCAAGTGAGTTCCAGGAAAGGCGCAAAGCTACACAGAGAAACCCTGTCTCGAAAAGCCAAAAAAAAAAAAAAAAAAAGAAAGAACGCGGGGCATTGTCTATCTACAGACCAAGTTCCAGGACAGCCCAGCCACAGCTACACAGAGAGACCCTGTCTGGAAAAGAAAAAAGAGAAAGAAAGAAAGAGAGGGGGGAGGGGGAGGAGGGGGGAAGGGGAGGGGAGGGGAAGGAGAGGAGGGGAGGGAAGGGGAGGGGAGGGGAGGGAAGGGGAGAAAGGATGGGGTCTGTATTCGTGGGGAAGACAGGACACCAGGAACTTGAGGCAGCTGGTTACATTGTGTCCATGGTCAGGAAACGGAGAAGGGACAGGAAGTAGGGGCCAGAATAAGAAAATAAAATTCAAGGCCTGCCCCCAAACACCCATTGATTCTAAGAAGGCTCCACCCTCCTAATGGTTTTACAACCTTTCAAAAGAGCTCCACCAGCTGGGGAATGTGGGTCCAAGTCTGCTGACTCTGTCCACTTACAAAGCCTCCTTCCTTCTGAAGACACTCCTTCCTTTCCCACGACTGGTGCCACCATTCACCAGACCAGATCACTTACAGTTCCAAGAAGCCCAGAGTACTACAGCGGGAAGCACATAACTGGGAACCCAAGCACAACAGAACTGTCAGACGGACACACTTACCACATGGCATGCATGTATGTCGGTGGGAGTCGTGGGCTGCTCACTGGAGTGCAGTTATACGACCTCATGATTCTTTCTGCCAATAAAAAATTTCTAAACAAACTTGCCACCAGCAGGTCCTGTCGGAAGAGCTTTTGGAAGAGATCTGAAGGCAGATAAAAAAATAACAAGGAATCTTCAGTGATTTGTGCCCAGCACTGGAAGCCAAACATACAAGTTTTCTTCCATAAAAAATTATTACAGACAAGTTGAGGCTGACACACACATTACTCACTGGTAATATACACACACACATGCACATATTAGTCTACATATGAACAAATATGCAAACCCCAACCAACCTATAAACAAAGTGCACACATGTCTTATAGTAGAAATTCTGTTTTCAACAGATACGGACAGCGCCAACACTTATTCAGGAAGCTGAGCCCTGGGCCTGCTGGGAAGGCATTACTGAGGGGGGAGAGCAGGCTGACATGGTTCTAAGCACCTGACCCTTGGTCCCTGCACTGACACTACCACATCCAACCCTCCTTAGGCTCTTTTGCTCTCCTTTCCTATTTCCAGTCCCTCTCTGGAGGGAACCAGTGATCCTGTTTGATGGTGGTGTCTCTCACCCCGAGGGAGCACATTCCAGGCGATGGTGTCTGTGATGGCTGTGAAGATCCAGTTCAGTTCACCCAGAGGGGTCCTCCGGTCATTCAGCCGACCAGGAATCCTAAACAAGATGGCGTTTGCATTAGTGTTGCCATAGCTACTGAAATAGGCAAGGGAATCAGATGTGGGAACAGACCTTGAATGGAGAGGGAAAGACAGGCTGGGCTGTGGCTGGGAGGTACTTCTGGAGTCCCTGACATTCCCAGAGTTCCCGCATGTCTCCTTCAAGGAGACAAGACACTCCATAGGCTCACCCTCAGTAGCTCCTCTCTCTACCCTCCAGGAAGACACACCAGCAGTTTTTCTTGTTGCCTTTGTATGTATGGACCAAGCGCAGCTGGCAACAGACAGCTGAACAGTTCCACACGTGCGGCACAAGCCCAACTAGGCTCAAAGACACACATCTCGTGCTGTCAAGGGATGCACACGCTTCACAGTCCTCTTCCACAGCCCTGTCTGGGTGCCACTGCTACAGAAGTGCTGAGGGACAAAGTCCTGCCCCATACAGCCTACTTACCTTGTAGTTATTCAATTAGTCCTGCAGACCTAGATGGGGTCCTGCTACATGAAGAGTGCTCTCAGTAGGAAGGACAGATGAGGAGCAAACAACAAGGACATACATGGAGAGGCAGGCAGCGAGATGCTGCAGACACTCAAGGCAGAGCATGGACAGGGGTAGACACATGCACTATGTTAAGGGAGGCGAAGGAAAGCTATACTAAGTGCTAATCCAGGAGTAGAGATCTGCATCCTGACAGGGCAGAAGGTCCACTGGAGTGGACAAGAGTGAGTCCACTGGAGACCAGAGTAGTTCAAAGCCCTAAGGTGTGGCCATGTCCTGCATCTTTCTGTTCTGCAGTGAGCTTAACTTTACCCACTAGGTAGCAAGTTTAATTATATCTGACTAGAAACTCTTTCTCCCAGAAGGAAAATGTTCACAGTGATTTGGTTTAGAAGCTAGAGTGTGATTTGCTATTTATAAGGTGGAACAGATTAATAATTCCCATTATAGTCACCCATTTGACGGTACTGTCAGTAAGAACAACTCAATGACTCAGAAACAGAGGGGAGCGGGGCCAAGCTAGCTACATAACACAACTATGCCAAGTGAGCTCTTTCCTGCCACTAATACCATTTGGTTTAGAAACAAAAATACTTCTTGTCTTCAAGGAGGCTTAGTGATAGAACAGAAGAAAGTCAGGAAAACAAAAACAAAAACAACCAGTGTAATCCTTTCAAGCAGCACTGCTCACATCAGGTATATTTCCAATGCCTGGGACGCTGTCATGGAGCCCAGTGCTGGCCATGTGCGGGACCACAAAGTACCCTACTACTGAAGAGAAACCAAGGGCCAGAGGTGAACGCAGCACTGAGTGTGGAGACTAGCTGGCCCTTACCCTGAGTGTGGGATTCTCCTTATGAGGTCTCTTGCCATGGAGAGCACCACAAAGAGGTGTATGTATGGTAGCTGGACCCATGGCCATCAGCTGTCTACACAGGACAGGGAAGTATGAAAAATCATGGGAAAGCAGATGACCACTCTTCCTGGAGTTTCTCCCCACAGAGCTAGGTGAGTGTGGGGTGTACCCTTCGAAGAGAAGACACTTATTCATGACTACAAAAACAATGCCCAGCAAGGCTCTTTATCCGAGCTCTCACAATTGTTGACGGAATGTCAGAGTTACAACCACCACCACCTTTTGTAGTATGTCCCAAATGCCCTACCTACTACCAACACCAAGTCCAAGTATGCGGTGCCCCCAAAATTTTTCAATAGCTCACTAAGACCCATGGAAGCTGTCTCCTCTAGGTGACCATTTACTACACAGAAAGAGGCCACCTCAGCCAAGGTAAACCCACAGGACAGTGTCCAGGAATAGACAAAAAGACCTCTGTTCCCTCTCCATTTGACAACACACACAGAACACTGCTGACCAGGCAGTCACTCAAGCCTAGGGACAGAGGCTTTACTAGAGTTCCAGCAGAGAAATGGCTGGTGACTGAGCTCAACCTCCAGTGTGACTGACACCATGGGACTTACAGACCCTCCTACCTCAGGCTGGTCTTCCTGTTATGTGAGCCCTGGCACTGCCAGTGTGGTTAGCCACTGGACTAAAAACAGAGTACTTTGAAGAAGCAGGGGGAAAGGTCAGATGTTCTCTTTGGGCAAACCTGAATACTCTGCCCCTGACCCCAGATTAGACTGCTCAGCACCAAAGCATTCTCTTCCAGTGAAATCTTAGGCCTTTAGCTTAACATACAGTCCTAAGTATAAGCAGGCAGGGCCAGGAGAGCCTCCGTTTAGATGAGCAAATACCAGAGTAGGTGACCACCAAGCATCCACAGTGTACACAACCCTTCTAATAAGAGGTCTGCTGGGCCATACCATTCAGGGAAGGTTCAGAGAAACTATGGCAACCTTTGGGGAAACACACAGCATTCACACTGGAAACATATACATTCTTGTCTTGTACCTCAGTGTGTAGCTTCCCAGCCAGCAGTCAATCCCTCCTCCCCCACTGAGACAGGATCTCACTATGTAGTTCTGGCTGTCCTGGAACTCACTCTGTAGACCAGGCTGGCCTCAAACTCACAGAGATCCACCTGCATCTGCCTCCTGAGTGCTGGGATTAAAGGCGTGTGCCACTATGTTTGGCTCATTAGTCAATTCTTTTTTTTTGAGCTGAGGATCGAACCCAGGGCCTTGTGCTTGCTAGGCAAGCGCTCTACCACTGAGCTAAATCCCCAGCCCCTCATTAGTCAATTCTAATCCAGAAACTTATTAAGGGGACACAGGATGTACTGAGGCAGAGTGTGATTTTATTAAAACTGTGACAAGTTAGAAATGGGCTACACGACCAAAACAAGAAAAGTGACTGAGTGAATTACAGAATAACCACAGAGAAATGGCTACTGGACACTTAATGGTTATTTTTTGGACATCTCAATAGGGCAATATGCGCTTTATAATAATAAACAAAGGAACAAGTCAAACATGGCACAGTCAAGATCACACAAAATACATGCAAGGAGAGCAGCAGGAAGAACCTCCATGTGCTGGAGGGCGGTGGGGGGTGGGGTGGGGGGGGTTGTTCTTCCTATGATCCATATGGAGAATATGAGAATCCACCCCACTTGAACCATAGGGAACATTTGAGACTCCCGTTTCTTTGCTTATTTATCCTCAGCCTTGTGTGGCATTAGGAAGGTGAGCTCTAAGGCGACAGCATCTGGGGGACTGGTGCCTAGTGCAGTGGACAGCATTCTTGGGGGAGGGTTAGGGTCTATAAGAATCAAAGAGACTAACCCCAGCCTGTTGCTAAACTTGGACGGTTACCAGTAAGAGCCTACATGCCTTGAGTCAAGTGAGGCTACCACAGATCAAGCTGTTTTCCTGGTTACGGTTTCTGGGGATGGGAACAGAAGATGTGTTCTCAGCTTCCATCACTGAATAGCCACTGAGAACAGAGGCTGTGTTTGGGTCTGGGTTACTTAGTTCTATCAAAACAAAACAAAAACAACTCTCAAGTGTGACAATCAGCACTAAAATCCCATAGCATCCTGAAAACTCCCTATTTTCTCTGAGATCATCATGAAAATATAGGCAAGGCATCTTCCCAACTCACATTGATTGATTGATCGAGCAACTGTCTAGTGAGGAAGCACTGATGTGCCTTCTGGTTCATTTGCAGACAGGTCCTTTTGGGATGACAAAGGTGGAGTGAGTCCACATCCCTCCTCCTTGTTGTTTAGAGCTGTGGTCTCTGTGCCTGACAGAGAAGCTAGGAAGCCATCTGGACTGTCACAGGCTGCGAAGGACCCAGAGGGAACCAAGTAGCTATAACACCCAGCCTGAGCCCCCACCCCACTTGGGAAGCTTCTCTAGGCCCAAAAAATCTATGAACAAGCTCAGGGGCTTTTTAAAAACTTCACTCCTTGGTGCTAACCAAAGACAAACTTTATGTGGAAAGAGATCACAGGATTGAAAGATGAGAAGCCAAACGCTAGTCCCAGCTGTGCTGGGGCTGGGCAACTTCTGCATCCTGTGTCTCGGCTCTGAGTCACGAAAACTAACCTTATGTGCGACACGGGACTAAAATAAAACGGGTCACACTTGCACAGCAGACACAGCAGCAGCCAGATACCTCCTTGGCAGGGGCACGCCGCCTCCTCAGCTCTCCCTCCCGCTGCTGCTGTCAGCACAAGGTTTATTCCCATCTCATCCCATCTTCCTGCAGACACTGCGCTCCCCTGCAGCTTTCTGTTTCCGGTCAGGACTCATCTTCCTTGATTTCAACACCCAGGCTGTCACTGTTCAGCACCTATTGCCATACAGTGACTACTTTTGAGTATCTCCACTGCCATGCACATGATGACCTCAGAGTGGGGCTGGTTCTGGAATGGCCGTCTGACATTTTCCTCTTGGGTCACTCTCTCCTCACCCCCATACCCCTCATGGCCCTTATCACCACCTCTGCAGTCACTCATCAAGACTCTGTCCACCACTCTACTCCGGAGTCACCCTTCTCCACCTAGTTGACAGACCCTGTTAAATCACTGGTCATTCCAACCTTAGTGAGGAAACATTTCTAAGTATGTGTTCAATGTCTGAATGTCTGGATGATTGCCACCTCCTTTGTGCTCATTCCTATGAGTGTCCTGCCAACCTGTGTCTCACTAGCATCTGCCCTTCCTGCCTGTTTCTTACACGGGGGCTGTACAAAGTCAGCCTGGACTGTGGGAAGAGCACACTCATAGATCGGGCCTCAGTCGTGACAGGTCTTTACAAACTGAGGAGTAACTTTGAGGGATATGCAGGGTGAGCAGCCAGCCTGAACTCTGGTGTCAGACAGACACAGGCTTGAATCTGGCCAGTAACTGCCCTGTGGTCTTGGGCCAGCTATCTGAGCTCATTGAGGTCTGGTTTATTTCAATACCAAGCTTCACAACTAGCTAGACACAACCACTGACTGGGGACTACAACCATGTTTGCCACTGTACATGGGTCACCTCCCAGGAAGGTGTTCTTTTCATTCTCACTTACAGATTGGGACTGGAGGC